CGGGCTCGTCGCGGGTGTGGCCCACGGGTTCGGCGCGGATTCGACGCGGATCCGGCACGGACGCGGCGAGCCCCACGTGGAGTCGGCACGGGTTCGGCGCGGGGACGGGGCCGCGACGGGACCGCCAAGGCCCCCCGAGGAGGCAACACAAGGGGCGAGGAGCTGATCCTAGGGGTGAAGGCCCCAGGTCGGAAACTAGAGCATATACATTGCCAGTGGCGGGCTGTTTTTCAATCCCACCGCTGGCTACCGCTCCCCGCCACCCCTGCCACCGTGGTTCGCCACGGCCGCCCACCGCGCTCTGGCCCTGCGCGCCTGGCTGCTACTGCCCCCCCGGCTGCTCATCGTTGAATTCTTCGGCGTCTGAGCGTCCCTTCTTCCTCTCGGCCGTCCCCCCCCTCTTTGCTCGCCGGCCAATTCGCTAGTTAGTGCCCGTATCTAGCTTCTCGCTGGAGCGGAATTCGCCGACTCGCCGCTGACGAAAAAACTGTTTTTCAATCCCAGGACTGATTGTCGGGGACGACGTCGGGGTGGTGTGGTGTATAGTTTTTCCCCCCGTTTTCCCGGGGAAACAACGAACGAGGTGTACGCCAGGATCCGCCTTCCTGTGCCAGTGTCGGCGCATCAGGACGATCGACATGGGTGCAGAAAGAATGGGTACGATGCCCAGCAAAAATCCCTGCTCATTTTGAACAGGACTCGCTGCTCGCCCCGCCGCGGACGTTGCTCTTTGAAAACAGAAGGCAGCCTGCCCAACAGCGGCCGCTGTTGGCTTGGGACAACATTTGTTGTTGGGCATTGTACCCATTTTTCCGTGCCCATCTCGGGCGTCCAGAAGCGCAGGGCCGGAAAAAAACGCCGGTGCATAGAGCTTGCTTCCCGATCAGGGTCCAGGACCCGTTTTCTTCGGGATCCGCTTCCCCCGTGCTGAGTGGCGCTTTCGCGCCGTGGCCGGTGTGGCCGCGGCGGTGGGGCGCCGCCGCCGAGGTGCGCCAGTCGGGGGGCGCCAGCCGTCCCACCCCGCCCGCGCGGGTCCCCCTCGCAGGTTCCCCGGCGGAGGAGGAGGAGGAGGAGGAGGAGGAGGAGGAGGAGGAGGAGGAGGAGGAGGAGGAGGAGGAGGAGGAGATGAGGAGGAGGAGGAGGAGGAGGAGAGAGGGAGGGAGGAGGGGAGGAGGAGGGAGGAGGAGGAGGGAGGAGGGGGAGGGAGGGAGGGAGGGAGGGAGGGAGGGAGGGAGGGAGGGAGGGAGGGAGGAGGAGGAGGAGGAGGAGGAGGATGGCAATATCCCCCCTGTCCCTGGGTCGCCCTGCGGGGGCCGCGGCCCCTGGGTCTCAGCGGAGGAAAAGGTACCCATACGGCCACTATTCGCCCGTTTTCCCTTTTTGGGGGCTTCCTGGGTGGCCCTCATCGCCACTGCTGGATTCTCCTCGAAATCCTGGTCAGAACGCACCCCGGGAAGGGTCCAGGGAGTAGCGGTATCGGCGCCTTTCGGTTTACCCCCCGCGGGGGCGGCGTCTGGGCTAGAGAGTTGCCCTTCTCCAGGGTGGCCTCGCGATGGCGCGAAGCCCGCGTAGTAACGCGAAACGCGACGCGCGAGGTTAGACCGCCTAGGGCTGGGCCGCGCGAGATCGCGAGGATGATCGCGTTTCTCGCGAGGCGCGCGGCGCGAGGCAGCGCGAAGTTGAGTGGCCTGGAATCCCAGACTGGTCCTGGGCCCTCGATGGATGTGTAATTACCCACCGCCCCTCCTTCCTACGTCCTACCTCCTCTCCCTCCTCCTCCTCCTCCTCCTCCTCCTCCTCCTCCTCCTCCTCCTCCTCCTCCTCCTCCTCCTCCTCCTCCTCCTCCTCTCTCCTCCTCCCTCCTCCTCCTCCTCCTCCTCCTCCTCCTCCTCCTCCTCTCCCTCCTCCTCCTCCTCCTCCTCCTCCTCTCCTCCTCCTCTTCCTCCTCCTCCTCCTCCTCCTCCTCCTCCTCCTCCTCCTTCTCCTCCTCCTCCCTCCTCCCTCCTCCTCTCTCCTCCTCCTCCTCCTCCTCCTCCTCCTCCTCCTCCTCCTCCTCCTCCTCCTCCTCCTCCTCCTCCTCCCTTCTTCCTGGCAGACGGCCTGGAGGGCGGCGTGCACAGATCCTGGGCCCAGGACCGGCCCGGCAAACGATCCGTCAGGGTCGATGTGGGTCGGTCGTCGGCGCCCCCCGAGCTTGGCCAGGCTCTGGCGCACCACTCTAGGCCTCCTAGATGGGGTCCGCGTAGATGGGGTCGGAGGATCGCGCCGCATCGGCGATGCATCGGCGATGCATCGGCGATGCGGCTCGACGTGGAGCCCGATGTGCTCCACGCCGGCGTCGCCGACGCATCGCCGGTGGCTCCGATGCGTCGCCGATGCACCGGCGATGCATCGCCGATGTGTCGGCGGTGATCCCTCGGCCCCATCTGCTCCGATCCCTATCCAGGAGGCCTCTGACCACAGACGGCGGGCGCGAGAGCGTCCGGCGCCGTCTACTCTCGGGTGGACGGCGAAGGGAGGGGAGGGGCTGCCCCCTTGCGTGGCTAGGACTGCGGCAATGTTCCAACCTACTTTAGCTTTGATCACCAGAAAAAATGGCACCGGAGAAAAATCCCAATCAGAGTCTTTTTTGTAGGCTATAGGGCTATTGGGCTATAGGGCAATTGGGCTGCACGCCCGGGCACCCGGGCACCCCCAGGCACCCCAGGGCAACCCCCGGGCACCCGGGCGTGCAGCGAAAATCGGCGGCCAACCTCATCCCCAGGCACCCGTGGGCACACCCGGGCATCCAGCACCCGGGTGCGGCGAAAATCGGCGGCCACGCTAACCTAACCACATGAATCCGCTAGGACCCCTACAGAGGCAAGCTCTGATTGGGGAATACTTTAGCATACAAAAAATACCGAAACTCGAAGGTTTTCACGTGTCAGGCCCTGGGAGACACTCGTCTGACACTGTTCGACACTAGTGTCGAACAGTGTCGGACGACACCTGTTCCGGGTGCTCGAAATTACTTCTGGGATGTGGTCCTTAAGTACGATCGGAGCAAGATGAGGCTAGGACCCCAGACCCCCGACGTCATGATTTTTTCATGACGTCGACCCCCAGAGGTCCCGACCCTTTCCCCAGGACCGGCTTTTCGTCCTGAGTCGTTTTTCGACGGTCCCGAGGGCCGGTGAGGGCCCCCAGAGTCCAAAAATGATGAAAAACCTCCCGTTGATTTTTTCATGACTCGAGGGGGTCTGGGACAGGGATTAAGGAATCGTTCCAGGGCGCCCGAGGACGCTCGCACAGCGTGCCCGAACGCTCCGAGGGGGGCGCGGCGCCTGGAACATCCTCCATGGAGCCGCCGGATCTCAGAGGTGCCCGGTGCAGCTCTGTCTGAGGTTGTCCCTGTCTTGGCTCCATCTTGCTGCTCCACGGGGGTCAAGTCGGGCCCGTCCGTCTAGGGGCGGAGTGTTCAGAAATATACGTCTTCCTACCAGGTTTGGGGGGACACGGCCTAGGAGAGATTAAGTCTCATGGGGATGGTGGGACCTGTCACTGCAGCCGCGCCTCTCGAGAGTTTCCTGGGGCGCCTGACCGTTCGGCGCATTTGACGTGCAAGCGGGATGACCCCCCCCCCTACTTGGCCGTAGTAGCAGACGCGAGAGGGGAGGCAGGAAGCTTGCGACGCGACAGAGAGAGGGCCAGGCAACCGTAACCTCCGGCTCAAGCGAGCCCAGCAGCAGAGGCACAAAGAAAACATTGCGGCTCAAGCGAGTTTCGCAGCGACAGCAAGCCAAACGAAGACCACTCAGTGGCTTCGGGAAGGCCGCAAATGATGCCACACTCTGGGGGGACCACCTAGTGGCTCCGCACTCCGGGTATCCAGGATCTCGAATTGGCCTCCCAGGAAGTGGGTGGTATTCCGTTGGGCGTTCTCCTTGGAGGCCGGCCTCCCCTAAAGTAGGTCTGACGTTGGGCTCGGGGGGAGGCCTGCCTTCCTTCCCCCGCTTGGGAGAGGACCTGCTGAAGCCAACGGAAAAACCATCATCCACCTATCCTCATCAATCTTGGGCGCAATACAATGAAGAGCTGATAAGGAGAGTGGGGTGGGGAATGCAGAAACCGAAATTCGAAACTGATTTCCCAATTGGGGGCACGACGTGCCCACACCTTCAAGGTTTGGATCACCACCACCGCAGAGGAGACTTTTACGTCTTCCTACCAGGTTTGGGGGGACACGGCCTAGGAGAGATTAAGTCTCATGGGGATGGTGGGACCTGTCACTGCAGCCGCGCCTCTCGAGAGTTTCCTGGGGCGCCTGACCGTTCGGCGCATTTGACGTGCAAGCGGGATGACCCCCCCTTTACTTAGCCGTAGTAGCAGGCGCGAGAGGGGAGGCAGGAAGCTTGCGACGCGAGAGAGCGAGGGCCAGGCAATCGTAGCCTCCGGCTCAAGCGAGCCCAGCAGCAGGGGCACAAAGAAACCCACCCCCACCCCCAACAGACCCACCACCGGGCACGGTTAAGCGGGCCCGAGGGACGGGAACGGGGAAACTAATCATCTGCCCGTCCACCTTCGTCTGACGGCCAGCGAGCAGCAGCCGCGACGGGGAACGAGGGGGGAGCAAACAAAAACCCGCACCACCGCGCACCGCCAAGCGGGCGTGGGGGACGCGGTTCGGCGCAGCTGCTGCTGAACCCGCGCCTCCGCCCCGTGGCCCTGCGGCCACGGCGGGAGGTAGTAGGAACAAAGAGGCAGCTTCGATGGAGAATCCCCACCCCGTTTTGGAGCAGAGCGGGGACGAGGGCCTGCGCGCCCCGCTGGCGCTTCTGACGCCGCGCTTCGAAGACGCAGTGGGCACGTATTGCGCTGCATCGGGCGATTCCGCCGGCCCCGTGCGACAATGGCTGGAAGCGAATCATGTAACCTCACAGCTGGTGCTGGAAATCCTGGCAGACGAGCTTGGGCCAAGGAACCAGACCCCGAAACAGACCCCCTGCGACCACCGGCAGGCTTCTTCGACCATGCCCTGGATTTGGCAGAGCAGGCGTACTTCGCCATCAAGCACGTGGCAAAAGTCCGAAGGAAGCATGCCACGGCCGACCTCGAAGAGGCGGCACCGCTGCGCACGGTTGAAAACCTGTGCACGCTGCCCGCAACGGGAGCACAACGCCCCTTCAAAAGCTCGCGCCCGCTCGCAGAGCAGCAGCGCGACCAGGAGAGCCTGGGCGCGCGCGAGCGCGAGACGGCGTTGAAGGCATGCCTGCATCTCGTTGACTCCGCGCGCCAACACAGCCAGCGCTGCGCCCGCATGGATGATTACGGATTGCCGATTGGGGACCAGCGCAGGCTACTGGCCGAGCTGCTAGGGCGCAAAGCGCGAGTGGCGAGCACGGTCAGACAGCACTCCCGGCATGTCCATCGATTCATGACGTGGCTGGAATCGCGCGGCCGCCAGGTTGCAACTGTGACTGAAATCGACGTCAAGGTGTACTTGGACGAGCAGAAGGAGCGGGGACACTCTGTGCCCAGTGCTGTGTTTTCGGCGCTGCGCTGGTTTGACAACGCAATCCAGATGGGGTGGCCGCTGCAGGACGAGCTGGTATTGACAGCCGTGGCAGAAACGCACGGAGCGGCAGCCGCCACGAGAGTGCAGGCGGGACCGTTCACGCAGCTGGTAGTGGACAAACTCCATGATCTCTTCTGGCGGGCACAAGGGGCAGAACGATGGATCACAGGTTTCTACATCTGCCTCGCCAGCGCCGTGCTCCGCTGGGGAGACCTCCGCAGATCGTGGAACCGCGGGCTCACGCGGGATGCCTTGTACGGCACGTCGTACCGCACGAAGCGGCAAACAGCGCCGACCCCGTGGGCGGCGTTGCGGCACAACGCTGGCGGCCGCGACTGGGGTGGGGCATGGCACGAGCTGACCAACGCCCTGACTCCAGAAAGCGACCCAGGCTAACCACGGAAATGGCTCTGGCCGGCGGTGGGGTACCCCGGGGAGGGTAGACTGGAAATAGCTGCCCCTTTGAGGAAAGGCTCCTACCACAATTGCTTGCGCACCCTGCAGGTGATCCTCCGCAAGGCAGGAGTGCAAAACACACCGCGGGGGTACACCCTCCATTCGCCGCGCTTCTACATGCCAGCGGTGGTGCGGCAGATTGGTGGCACCAGGGAGCAGGTTGCAGCGGTCGGTCACTGGGCGGACGGAGGCCAGGTCCCTTTGCAATACGACCAGGCCAGGTGCTGCTCCGAGCTGCTGGTGAAGGCACAGGTCTTGCAGGCGCTCCGGAACGGATTCCGGCCGGCCGGAAGCTTCGAAGTGCCTGAATTCGGCGGGCCGCGTGACGTGCGCCCACCGCCCGGGCAGCTGACCGAGGGCACCCACGGGGACCGCAAAGCGGCCCCTGGGCTAGACGCGGAGGCCGCCAAGGCAAGCGCCGGGCACCAGGGCGACGACCAGGAAGAGACCCAGAATGGATATTGAACGTGCGGTCGGCCATGCTGCACAGGAAGCACCCGTCCCTGACGAACCGCAGCCCATGCCCGTACGCGCGCAATTACGAGAGCCACAAGAATTACCAACTTGTCTCCTCCGGAAGCGAGTTGGGCGCAGCATTTTGCGCCAGCTGTTTTGGGAAGGCGAAGGCCGTGGACATGCCTCAATGGAGCTCGCCAGAGGACTGCAGCGGATCTGAGGGTGGGGCCGCGCCCTCTGACAGTGACAGCAGTAGCTCTGCAGAGTCCTAGCGCAAAGAGGCGCGAGAGACCCCTCCCTCCCCATCACCCCTGGACCTCCTTTCTCCCCTCTGCTCGATGGGCAAGCAGGAGCATGCTTCAGGTGTAGCATCATGGGGTAGGGGGAGACGAAAGAAGTACCCTCTGCCACTGAACGTATTGATCATGAGACCCGAATTCTTTTGACATCTGCAAAGGAAGATATGGTAGTCAAATGTAGTATGTACTTGTAGACTTTATTGCCAGGGCCATCGCTGACCTATCGATGATGCATGCATACCCTCTGTCACTGAGCGTACTGATCATGAGACCCTAATTCCTTTGACATCTTACCCCGATTCTCAGAGGAACGACTAAGGCATCAGGACGGAGGGGTCACAGGGCAGACCGCCGAGAGAGGCAGCATATAACTGCGCCCGCAGCGCGGCCCCTGAGGCTCGAACCAACCGCCGGCGCTGCTTGGTCCGCCCGCGCGGCGCGGGGTGGGCAGGCAAGGGAGCATGGCCAGCTACGACGATGCTCTCGGCCGCCAGCTGGACGTCAACCTCCGGAACCTATTGGAGGAATGTCGTGTCCAGCCGGAGATCGCACAGTGGCTTGTGGAGAAAAAGGATCACCCAGGTCGGAGCCTTCTCAGACTTGGCGGACAGCAAAGAGCAGATCGTCAAGGTGCTCCACATGGCTGGTGCGACCATTGACGTGAACGACCCTGTAAAGTGCCAGCCGGTCAAGACCGCCTTCAGGCGCGCCCTGGCCATCACGAAGGCCGAGGACGACGCGAGGGCCCGCGGCGAAGACATCGACCGCGAGGCGACCCTGGGGTCCGAGGACAGGAAGCGCCTCGACAAGAACACGGCGCAGCACTACAACTTCCACTGGCCTCAGACGATGCTGGTCGACGATGCGACCATGGGGCGCCTCATAAAAATGTTCACCAAGAAGACTCGCTACGTCCCCCGGCTCGGGGAGATCCGAAACCTGATGGAGAAAG